ACCCAAACTATTCTATGATTCTATGATCTTTGTGAACTGGGTCTGTAGCCACAATCTGGACTGCACACTGCCTTTTACTCAGGCTACTCTGCAGAGCTAAAACATCATCTGCGGTACTTAAGTAACTGATAATGACAGAAGCAGCAGAAGGAGGAAAATTTTGCTTTCACATCTAACTCTATGTTTCTTCGTAAAAAAGATTCTTTTGCTTTTAATTATGTGATCAGGTACATTTACCCTTTCTTCAAAACTTAGTTCAAGTATACCACAGTATCAAGCAAAACTCCATATACTTACATTTCATGTTTCTTAGCATCTCTATCATGGAAAAAATTCTCATCTGATTGCAAGATCCTTTTGGAACAAGTCATCACTGTTTCATAGTCATGTGATACATATGCAAAATACGTAAGTCGTGCCAGTGTCTGCAGTTCCACCAAGGAATCTGACCAACTGCATTCCAAGGCCAATTTCACCAACTGGGGAAAAAAAAACCCAAACAACAAACAAGCAAAAAAAGATAAAAGTGCTCTTTTCTATAGCACTTACATGCTTACAGCTGTACCTTCCACACAACCCCCCTGCACAGGGAGCAAGTACACGAGTAAACAATCTAGAAAATCAAAGAACTATAAGAACATTCAAAATATACAGCAGAGAAGCATTGTTCACGTTGTAGTAAGTGTTATACTAGTGTATGTACAATCAGCTGTAAGTGCACATGCCTTTTGACCAGCAGTATCTGCCAGGACTTATCATACGCCTTCAGTCTTCTTCTGAAAATCAGTAGAAAAAGACTTCCAAAATTCAGAGCCCCTTTTAGTTAAGCCAAAGATAAGAATGAGAGATAGCACTGTTTTCCCAACACTAGTGTTTCATGCATAGTTTCATTATAGGATCCTCCTTGCTTTTGCATGCATCAGTCAGAAAGTCCATCTTCCTGACTGATGCAATAATAATAATCGAAAAATAAAATTACGATAATGAGTATTGTTAATAAATGGGTAAAAATGAGGATACTACAATACTGCTCTCCAAAACTAAGCCACTGAAGCTGAAGTTAACTAATAATATTTGGCATAAATCTGTAGACCAACTACAGTTAGATACCAATGTATTAATCCATATCTATTTATAAGGACCCAGATCCTAGTCTTGAGAAAGAAGGACTTCTACAAAGTGTTAGGCAATGTCACCAGATTTCTATCTAAATGGGGAAATACATCTTAGTCTTTTAAGAAAGCTCTCTACAGAAGGCAGAAATTTATTTTGTCTCCATCTAAACCTGAAACTGAAATAACATTTGTACTATGCAATTTCTTAAAACTCGAGAGCTAATAAATACCTGAGGTAAGCTAGGAACAGTGAAATCCATGAGACCCAAGCCATTACATGAATACATTTCTAGACCAACAAGAATTCTTGTCACAGGATTTTGTGCTTCATCGTTATTCTACGCAGAAATAAAAACCAATACATTAACAGGTTTTGTTTTGTTTTCAAGTAAACATTGTTAAGGAAGTTAATTAAGATGAGAAGGTAATAGTATCTATGTTTGGAATCCTCAGTTTGCAAAAAGCAAGACTTCCGCTCTTCATCGTGTCCTTAAATGGGGGATTTTACGTATTTATTTTTTTTTATTGATATTGTGAACTCTGAATTACATTTTTAACATTAGAAAAAGACGGCAGCAACACAATGCAGGTAAATTCATGTACCACTGAGGGATATGGTTTTATAGTATAATAAAAGACAAAGATAGGAATAAAATACTACTTTTGAACTTACTTAGGTCCATATTCTAGATATAGACCATATTAAATGTTAATGTAAAATATAGATGATTTTCCATTTAGCCATTTTATTATGTTAAATATATGAATTCAAACCCAACTTTGTTATACAATCACCATACAGCAAACGTTACCATAATTATTCTTGGCAGATAAAAACAGAAGGTAGAGTTAAGAAATGTAGACTCATTGCTATGCCAGATGTGAAGAATTTGCTGTATTCCATAAAGATTTAAGGGAACTACAGCCAAAATTATTTTTCATGTCGTATTCCAACATATAGAAGATACACACTGATAATTTCCTTATTAAATTAATATTTTCAAAGAAAAGTTTCAACATTATGCAGGACTCCAGAGTGATACTACCTCCTCCTCTGTCCCAAGTTTATGTCCGATCTGCTGCTGATTTAACTGTTTGGCTTTCACCCACGTAGCAATGATCTGTTGTTGTGCAGCAATAGGTACCGTTTCATTAGGTATGATTCCGGTTACCACATTTAGGGCAAATTCACAAATCTGAACACCAAGAATTAAAAAAAGAGACTGAAACACAGGATAAATGTGGAAAGTTTTTTGTATGGAACATGCCATCCATTAGTTGTGTTAAAATTATTGCACACGCATCTCTAAGCCTTACAACATCTCTACAAAGTTGAACTATATAGCAAATAGAACTTCCAGTCCCCAGCCCCAATTGATAAGGAACTTCAGTGTGCATTTGGGGAGGACCTGTAGTGGCAGGAACTGTAAAAGACAGTAGCTTATTTTTTGCAAAAAATTTATACGATTTAATTTATATGAATTGTGACAGATGACAGCACACCAAGGATGACTACAAAAAAGGAGGGCTTTGTACCTCTAAGGCAGCTTTGATATCAGGAAGTCCACTGGGATCTACTAAAGAAGACTGGATGACATTTGCTTTTTCATGTTTCTTTACTGAAGCTCTTCTGCTTTTGTCAATTGCATCTTTTTTTATTGCCTCAGCAGGTTTTGGATTCGGAATCCAACAAAGAATTAATCCCCGAGCCAAAGCATTACATAACATCAATAAAATCACAGCACTTCTGTAAAAGAAAACAAAAATCAGAAGTGCATAATGCATCAGATCAAAATAAAAAGAAGTAATAAAGTTTATTACGTTCAAGCAATAAATATTACTTGAAAGTCTAGATTTTTTTTTTTTTTAAGAAAGCAAAGTTATGGATGTTACAAAAAAATTTCCCATTGTAAAAGCAGTTAAAACAGCTAAAGGTACAAAATCCCACACCAGCTTTTCATAGTTTACATCATATTTTTTCAGCTCTTTCTATCATTCCTATTTCCTCCCAGAAAAAAAAAAAAAAAATCGTATTTATGTCAGACAAACACATTTAAAAATAAAATTTTTGTTAGTGTCTTGCTATGCATGAAAATAACAACTACTTCCTAAAAAAATCACCTCAGCCAAAGGCCTCATGTAATCCCATTTCTTCATTACACTGTGTTGTCCTTCAATCAACTGCTGTAACTGCGGTGCAAGAATTACTTTTTTTTTGAGCAAACACAA